TCGACAGGGCGCTGCCAAAGAAAGGACGCTCCCTCGAGCCCATGCCTTGTGCCAAAACGGCTTGAGCCAAAATGATTACTGTACGGACCTCCACCACCTCCTCCTCCGCCTCCATCTCTTCGCTCGTCCTCCCAAACATCCTACCCCCCAGACGGCCCAAGCCCCACAAGACAGCCCAAGAACGCCTAAGGACGGCCCCAGGGGGCCCCCAGACGGGTCAAAAAAGTCGGGCCACCTTGGGGCTTTGCGGGACCGTCCGGGGATGGTCGGGAGAGGCTCCCGAAACCGAAATTCGAATTTGACGTCGGTGGGAGCGCCCAGGGCCGAACTTATGCACGGCTGGTGGGGGGCGGGGGGGGGGCGGCTATAAGAAGATTCGTAGAGGAATATATGTATATATATATATATATATAGAGAGAGAGAGAGAGAGAGAGAGAGAGAGAACAAACAAAAACAACAACAAAAAACAGGAGCGAGGGCCAGGAGGCGCAACTGAGGGGGGCTGGAGGCCGTGAAGAGGAGCTAGCTCCTCCGAAGACTCAGCTGTAGAGGGTGACGAGAGTGGAGAGAGATAAAGAGAGAGAGAGAGAGAGAGAGAGTGAGCGCGGCAGACCGAGAACGTTGTGCTTTCTCGCGACGTGAACCCCCAGAGGTCTGGACCCGTTCCCCGGGACCGCCTTCTCATCCCGAGTCCTTCCTGGACGGTCGTGGGGCCCGGCGAGGGCCCCCGCGTCCCAAGGCCTCCCGTGGCGAGTTCGTACACGACGCGGGGGGGGGGGGGGTCAGGGGAGCTCGGCGGACGGAGCCACTCGACGTCCTCCGCCTCCTCGATATCCTCGATCTCCTCGTTCTCGTGGTTCTCCTCGATCACCTCGATCTCCTCGATGTCCTCGATCTCTTCGCCTTCCTCGACCTCCTCGACCTCCTCGACCGCCTCGACCTCCTCGACCTCCTCGACCTCCTCGCTGTCGTGGATGTCTTCGATCTCCTGCATCTCCTCGACCTCCTCGATCTCCTCGACACCCTCGATATCCCCGACCTCGGTTTCGACCAGCCGACCGCCCCCCGCCAGGACGGGCGCGGGGCGGCGGAAGCGGCGCGCGGGCAGGAAGCGGGCGGGGGGCGAGCGCCGAGGGAAGGCGGTGGCGACGACGAGCGACGAGCGACGGGCCCCGACCGACGAGCGACGGGCGACGAGGACGACGAGCGACGACGACGGCGGCGGCGGCGGCAACGACGAGCCACGGCGGCCTGGAGGGCTCGCGTGTCCGCGCTTCGCGCTGCGCGAAGCGCGGACGACGTCGCGCCCTCTCGCCGCGCCCCCCCCCGGGGGGGGGCAAGAGGAGGGCGAGGGGCGAGGAGGACGAGGGGCGAGGAGGGAGGACGAGGGCGAGAAACGATGAGGGCGAGGGACGAGAAGGAGAAGGACGAGGGCTGCTGAGCTGCCTTGCTCACAGATCTTTGCTCATCGCTGAGCCAGATCGTTTTTTCCCCTGGGCTTTCCTGACGCGGGTCAATCCAGACCTGGGCCAGTCAGGCTTTGCAGGATCCTGCAAGATCCTGCAGCATCCTGCACCCAAGCCAGGGTCAATGCAGCCCTGGCCCTGCAGGATTTTGCAATGTCCGGCGCTCTGGCTGACCCCCGTCTGCATCGACCCCCGTCTCAAGGCTCCCGATTTTTGCACCAGCAGAACGCTCTGGCCTGGAAGCTCACTTTTGCCCGACGTAAGAGGACGAGGGATGAGGGGGTTGAGGGAGAGGGCCCACACCGCGAGCCGCGAAGCGTGAATCGCTTCGCGCCCTCGTGGGAGTCCTTGAGGCTACGACGTGCGCGCGGGACGGGTAGTCATCGGCGGCATCAACAACCGCGGGGATCATATCAGTCTGGGAGAAGTGACGTAGCGTCTCCTTGAAGCTGGCGCGAATTCGTGAGGTAAGATCGGCCAACATCGAACTGGGAAGTCGGATCGTGACGGCTCGGGCTTCGGATCGGACCGTATCGGCACGGGGTCAGAGCAGCCGCGCAACGATACACGACAACATCATACGCAAACATCGGATCGATGGAATATCAGAATCGAGCCGGAATCGTTGTCGAATCGGATCGGATCAAGATCGGCCCTCTAAAGGTCGGAATGGTAACGTCGTGGGGGTAGGGAACTGGGGAGGGGGCGAAGAGGGCGACAAGGGGGGAGAAGGAGGCGGACCCTGGAAAGTACCCCTGCGTTCGGGCCTCCAGGGCCCTACGCTTAAGTCGGGTCTGTGCTCTTACAGGGGGATCTAGAAAGAAAAAATTAAAAGTATAGAAAAAGAAAGCTCCCGAATAGTCAAAACATGCAACGAGCATCGTCCCCATACTATGTTTTACTATTTCCCTACCTAGGCTCTGCCTAGAAGGGTTCTGACCCTGTTTGCTTAAAGGAGCCGGGCAATGCTCCGCGCCCCGGGCGGTTCCCCCAGGATCCGCCCCGCGGTTCCCCCAGTGACGTTCCCTTAGCTTAGCGTTGCTTATCTCATCTTAGCTGAGCTTATTTCAGATTAGCTTAGCTTAGCTTAGCTTAGCATAGCGCAGCGCTGCATTCGCATAGCATAGCATAGCATAACATAGCCACGCATAGCATAGCATATCATAGCATAGCGTATCATACCATACCATGGCATATCATAGCATAGCATAGCGCAGCATAGCATGGCATATCATAACATCGCATATCATAGCATACCATAGCACAGCGCAGCATGACACCTCATAGCTTAGTATAGCTTAGCATAGCTTAGCATAGTATAGCATCGCGCAGCATAGCATAGCATAGCATATCATAACAAAGTATACCATAGCGCAGCATAGCATGGCATGGCATGGTATAGCATAGCAACTAATGCTGCTTTCCTAGGGGCTCCACCTTCTAGGTAGGGTCGCACTGGGGTAATTTTGAATCTTCCTCCTGTAGAGGGACAGGCCCGACTTAACCCCACGCGGGCTCTTAGGCCGACAACACGAACGACTCAGGATGCAGAGCTGGTTCTCCGAAAAACCTCAGGTCTAGGACCCGTTTCCCTCAGGACACCTTCCCTTCCGGGCGAAGAGCGGAGGGAGCGGATCGGCGACTCGGACCGGCTAAATGGGCTGACGACACGCAGCTCCAAATCCACTCGGCTCGGATCGGAACCAGGCCTGGGTGGGGGGGGGGAGGGAGGGAGCAAGGCTAACTGGCCGCGCCCGTTACTGAGCACTTCCCTTTTCCGCCGCTGGCAGCGCAAGCTACGGAGTACAGTGGAGGCCGGTCCGCAAGAAACCTTCCACAAGAAACCCGACGCTGGACCCCCAGGACGTCCATTGATTTTTGGCGTGGGAACGTCACGCTTTCCATCGCCAAACCATGGAAACCCAAGAATTCCAGGGCACCCTGAAGGCAAGCAGGGTGTTTCTTGGAATGGGCCCCCACTGCACTGATGGGGCTCTGAGGTCCAGGCGGCCATCCGGGCCGAAGAGCAGCGACCTGCACATCCCCTGGAAAATGAAGCGCGCCGCAGGGCGGGGCAGCAAGAGCACGCCGAGGGCGCAGGGCTGGAAGGCGCACCCTCCCGGGGCAGAGGGCCCCGAGAGGCCACTTTGGACACCCGAAATGGGTACCGAAAGAATGGGTACAATGCCCAACAGCAAATGTTGTCCCAAACCAACAGCGGCCGCTGTTGGGCAGGCGGCCTTCTGTCTCGAATGGACACAGGCCGCGGCGGCGTGGGCAGCGAATCCTGTTCAGAATGAACAAGAACTGCTGTTAGGCATCGTACCCATTCTTTCCGTGCCCATCTCGGGCGTCCAGAGGCCACCGAGAGGGCAGAAGGCCGCGAGAGCTCCCCGGGGCAGAGGGCCCCCCGCTCCGGCCTTCCGCCTCAGCCCTCCCCTTCGGCGGGGGCCGCCCGCACTCCACGGGCGACCCGCCCCCCTCCTGGCGCCGAGGGAGAGCTCCTCCTCCTCCTCCTCCTCCTCCCCCTCCTCCTCCTCCTCCTGCGCTGCCTCCTCCGCCTCCGCCTCCTCCTCCTCCTCCTCCTCCTCCTCCTCCTCCTCCTCCTCCTCCTCCTCCTCCTCCTCCCCCTCCTCCTCCTCCTCCTCCTCCTGCGCTGCCTCCTCCGCCTCCGCCTCCGCCTCCACCTCCGCCTCCGCCTCCTCCGCCTCCGCCTCCGCCTCCGCCACCGCCTTCGCCTCCGCCTCCGCCGCCGCCGCCTCATCCTCCTCCTCCTCCTCATCATCATCCTCCTCCTCCGACCGAGATATATATATATATATATATATAAAAAAGGGCGGCCAGCTCCTCCGGGCCTGCGAGGGCGAGGCCCCTCTTCTCTCTGGAGCGTGCCGCGCGGGCGTCGCGGCAGCTCTCACCAGCCCTTCAGGGCGCGAGTGGCCCAGCGCGGTTCTCCTTCCACCCCTCCCCCCCGTCTTCCCCTTCGGGGAGGGGTTTGCCCTTCCCTCCCCCTTCCCCCCTCTCCCTGGGTCTGGATGGGGGGAGGGTCGCCAGGGGCTGGAACGTCCAAAACGGCCTCGGCGAAGAGGCCGAAAGCAGTAATGTGACTGCGGTTTTGGCTGCATTTGGGGCTCTTTTTGGGGAGTGCGTGATTCGAATATTGACAGCACACCCTTCAGCAAACCGCCCTTTAGTGCAAGCTGCGAGGGGCACTCCACGTGCGCACGGCACCGGATTCCGAGTGGACCCTAGCGGGGTAGCTAACTAACGTCCAGACATGTCCGAACATGTCCAGCGAGACGCGCGGCGATATTTAGCGAAACCGGATGCGGACGGAACCGGCACGCTCGCATGTCGCACGCCAAGGACTCCTCCTCCTCCTCCTCCTCCTTCTCCTCCTCTTCCTCCTCCTCCTCCTCCTCCTCCTCCTCCTCCTCCTCCTCCCCCTCCCCCTCCCCCTCCTCCTTCTCCTCCTCCTCCTCCTCCAAAAAGTTAATAAGATAACGATCACGTGGAGGAGATCGAGGGCCTGTCTCAGTACACGTCGTCCTTGGTCGCCCACGCCGCGTCCACCTCCGTGAAGCCGTCCTTTGCATTGTGCTTCTGGACGACTTCTTCCACGGCCTGCATCTCATGCTCGTTCACCGAGATGATGATCGCGCGCTTGTTCCTCTTGTCGGTGTGTTGCTCGAGCGTCTTCTCGAGATGCTTCAACGGAACTCGCAACTCTGAGATTTCATCCCAATCCAGCTTCTTCACTGTACCACCCTTTGCAAAGAACGGCTCCTTCTTTTCCAGAACCGCCACCGTGCCGTAGGCACTGAGTGAGGCGTCCTCAGGTCCATTCGAATTCTCTTGAAAGGCAGGTTCTTGGGAATGTAATACCTATATGCTCTAAGATGCTCCTGCTGGGCCGTGCTGTGGCCCCCTCTTGGGTGCCTCGTGGACCGTCTTCAAAGCCCTAAGGGCTGGCCCAAGAGGCGCAAATTACTGAAGCATGGTTTGACCGGTTCCGTTTTGCTGTTTTTTCGCCGGTTCCGACGCCATTGTTTTACCGGTTCCGTCGCCGTTTTTTGACAGGTTCCGGCAACGGTTCAAATCCTGGAGCCGTTTTTTCCCGTTTCCGGTCGCCGTTTTTTTGCCGTTTCCACTTTCAAGGGACATCTTTTTGGAAACGGTGAAAGAACGGCCCTGCCGTTTCGGGGGCCCACCAACATTTAGCACACTCGGCTTCTGGGTCTTCAGAGCGTCCAAGACGGACACAAACGTCCCCTAAGACCACCCCCGGGAGGCCCCCGAGAGTCCGAGAGCCACCTCGTCCGCGACCCAAGCATCGTGGCGGCATGCGCGGACTGCCACGCGATCCGCCGCCACCTGCTCATGTGCGGTGCCTGGCGTTCACAGGTCTCCTCCCCAATAACGGCCCCAAGGTGGCCCACGATGGCCAAGATGGCAACGATGGCCTCCAAGACGGCCAAGGCGGCCCCAAGAGAGCCCAAGCTGGCCCCCATGTGTCTCCAAAAGGCAGGGGGGCCGCGGTGGTTCGCCGCAGGCATCTTCGACCCGACCCTCGGGTGACTCGTTCCAGGGGTGCTTGGCGGGGGAACTTTAATACAACGCTCGGCCCTCCTTCCAACAAATCCCCTCGGGCCCACCGGCCTGTCGCGCCGCATCCGCACAGAGTCCCGAAATCTGAAGAGTCGCCTCCAAGGACGGCCCGAGAAGGTTCCCAAGACGGCCCAAGACGGCCCCAGATTCCCTCCAATACGCTCTCCGGACGGCCGGGATGGCCCCGAGTCCCAACGTGGCCCAGAGAGTGCCTCAACAGCTCTGTTCGAGGTCTCTTGGGCCGTCTTGGGAGGCCCTCGGGGACCGATCCACGAAGCCCCAACTCGGACATACGCATGGTTTCGAAGCTTCGAGTCGGCACCTTTTCGGCCTTCAGAGCGCCCAGCGCAGTCCATTTAGAGACCCCCAGGACGGGGCAAAGACGGCCCAAAAGGGCCCCGGGATAGCCCAAAAACGCCTCCAGGACAGCCCGAGACGCAAGCGGTCAGAAAAGAAGCCCGAGATAGCCCCAACACCTCCCGTTCCCCAAGTGGCTCCCCCAATGGCTGGAAACAAGCACGAAGTCCATTACCGCGGCCACAGTTTCGCTTGACATTTCACGACGCAGGCGCTTCTAGAAGGCATGGGGTGGCGGTGGCTCGCCGTAGGCATCTTCGATAGTGCGCACGGAACTCCTGCAACATTGCTGGATACTCCTCCCCAGTGGCAGAGCCGAGCACGGCATCACTGCGAACTCCGATGACCGACACGTGCTCTGCACCCTTCACGATCGCGTTCCTCATCGCTGCGAATACAGAGTGGCGGTATCCCGGCCACCAGCCCTCAGTCTTCACAGCGCGCACCTGTGGAGGCCTGGAAATCGGCACCAACGCCAACACAGGGAGAGGGGGTCGCCTCCACAGGGGGAAGACCATCCCTAGATCTCGGTGTTGCTGGTCATATCTCGGTCGCCCTGGAAGCCAGAATCGTACCACCGTCCCCGAGATCGGGGCCTGGCTCCCTCGGTGGAGGCACACCGCCAATGTCTGGTGCTGGTGTTAACCTCCAGGCCTGCGACGCCTGCCCCCCGGACGCCTGCGGCGAACCGGACGCCTGCGGCGCCGAAGGCCGCTGGGCGGCCCCGTTCGGGCCCGGCGGCGCCAGCTGCACCGGCCCCGCGTCGTCGAGGCTCTCGGGCGCGGCCTGACCGACCCCTTCCGCGAGCAGGCCCCTCGCCCCCGAGGCCCCCCCTCTCGAGGGCGCCCGCCGGCGCGCTCAGGAGCGGAGCGAGGGGCTGCCACTCGAGGAGGTCGGTGTCCTGCCCCGACGTCCGCCCACCGTGGTGTTTGCCATGCGCGGCCCCACCCTGACTCCGGATCCGCCCTACTTTGGGGAAATTCGTGAGTAGGGCTTGGAATTTCCGCCTTAGTTTTCAAGCCCCGCTGATGCCAATTTCCGCCCTACTTTTCTGTTGCTGTTTCCGCCCGTATACTTCTGTGGATTTCCGGCCCACTTTATGTTGGGTGCATCAATTTCCGCCCTACTTTTTCGGCCTCGTATAGGTGGATTTCCGACGCAATTTTAAGTGGGAAAAAAGCCAAAGTAGGGCGGATCTGGAGTCAGGGCAGGGGAGGTCCCACCAACGTCGCCGGGGGTGAATGTCGGACCTGCTACAGCGGGCCCCGGAGACAGAGTGGCAGCACCCCGGCCACCGGCCCTCGGTCTTCACAGAGCGCATCTGTCCCCCGGGACGCCTGCGTAGAGCCGCGGCGCCAGGGCGCTGAAAACCAGCCCCGCGCCGGGCCCGGCGGCGCTGGCTGCCCCGCGGCCTGAGGGGGGGCTGTCACTCGTGGAGGCCTGGAAAACGGCACCAGCGCCAACACAGGAAGTGGGTCGCCTCCACAGGGGGAAGACCATCCCTAGATCTCGGCGTTGCTGGTCATATCTCGGTCGCCCTGGAAGCCAGAATCGTACCACCGTCCCCGAGATCGGGGTCTGGCTCCCTCGGTGGAGGCACACCGCCGATGTCTGGTGCTGGTGTTAACCTCCAGGCCTGCGACGCCTGCCCCCCGGACGCCTGCGGCGCCGAAGGTCGCTGGGCGGCCCCGTCCGGGTGCGGCGGCGCCAGCTGCACCAGCCCCGCTTCGTCGAGGCCCTCGGGCGCGGCCGGACCGACCCCTTCCGCGAGCAGGCCCCTCGCCCCCGAGGCCCTCCTCTCGAGGGCGCCCGCCGGCGCGCTCAGGAGCGGAGCGAGGGGCTGCCACTCGAGGGGGTCGGTGTCCTGCCCCGACGTCCGCCCACCGTGGTGTTTGCCATGCGCGGCCCCAGGTGAAGTCCCAACGTGCGCCGCCCGGGCTGTTTTCCTGGGTCCATTGCCGATGGCCATGCAGGCCCTTGTAACGGGCCCCAGAGGCCGAAGACACGGCAAAACGCCGCGATTGAAAAAAACGACTCGTGGAGGATCTGGGGAGGAAGTCGGACAGGGCAGGGCTGCTTTGTGAACGCCCAGGGCTACGAGGCAAACACCAGCTGCGGGCCGTCCCGCGCCTCGGCCCCGAGAGCTCCCCACCGCCGCGCGCCGCGCCCACCCCGAGCCTGAGGTGGCGGCCCCCGCGAGCTTTGGGGGGGAATTGCTGGGCGGGCCGCTGCGCCCCTCCGCGGATCGAGGCAGCGACCCGTCCTTCGCGACGAGGGGGCGCCAGAGGCCAGGGGGGAACTCTGGACAAAAGCATGCGTCTGCGCATCGTGGTGGCGCTTGTCGCGACGGCCGTTGCCGGCACACTGCCCGCTGTCTTGTCGTTGCACACTTGGCGAGCACCCCCCTCCTTATTTCATGAATCCCCCCAATGCCAACGCCTCGTTCCTGGTTCTTCGTTTCTTGATCCTCGCCTCGCCTCCCCGTCGATACCCGAAGCTCCTTTCCTACTCCTTGAAAAAACGTCGATGCTCGATGCTTACCATCGACCCCAGAAACCTCGCTCCACACTCCTCGCGTAAACTGCAATCCTCGCTCCTCGCTTCCCTGTCGATCCTCGAGCCTCGATCCCCGCTCAAAGTCTTCATCCTTGATCCTCGTGCCCTGGTCGATGCTCAAATATCACTCCTCGATGCTCGCAAAACCTCCAGCATCGATCCCCGAAATTCGAGCCTCACGCTTCGACCCTCGAATCTCGCTCCTCGACCCTCGTCAACATCTTGATCCTGGAACCTCGGCTGTCGAATCCCAGTCACCGATCCCCAATCCTCATCCAATCCGCAATCGGTCTCCGCAACCGAGGCGGAGCCCCAGGGAGAACGTGAGCTTGGCGTCTTCAGACGGCACCGCCAGTCGAGTGGTGAAGCTCACGGCAATCTGCTATAGACCCTCCTGGGCGGCTTCAGCACGTGCCTGCATCAGAAGGAGATGCACGTGAGACGAGTGGAGCAAAGGCTTCGCCAAAAGACAGGCGTCAGTATAATCTTCTGAGTTTGTTATTGCCCCTTCCCCCCGTCACCGTCGCCAATCGCACCCTCCCCCCGCCGCATAAGTACCTGTGCGCCGAAAGGCCGCCTCTTGCTGGTGGCTCAGCGGTCTCCATGCTCCTCCTCCTCCTCCTCCTCCTCCTCCTCCAGCTACTCCTCCAGCTCCTCCTCCAGCTCCTCGTCCTCCTCCCCCGCCTCCTCCTCCTCCTCCTCCTCCTCCTCCTCCTCCTCCTCCTCGTATCCTCGCTCTCCTCCTCGCCCTCCGTTTCCATTGTCCTCGTTCGCTTCCTCCTCCTCCTCCTCCTCTCCTCCTCCCTCCTCCTCCTCCTCCTCCTCCTCCTCCTCCTCCTCCTCCTCCTCCTCCTCCTCCTTATCCTCCTCCTCATCATCCCCGAACGCCTTGCGATCGGCCTCCGCCTTGCGCTCGGCCTCAACCTTGCGCTCGGCCACCCGACGCCAGATCGGGATACGACACGTCCAGGGAGTGGACACGGGGAGGGGAAGGGCGCGTGCCGAACCACGCGTGACCATCCCACTCCCCTCCCCGTGGAAGGGAGGCAGAGAGGCGCGGAAGGCGGGGAGGATGGGGGGGAGGCCTGCAGCGAGATTCTGACATGCGCGGCATGCGCGTGGAGATCAGCGACCGCGAGTGCAAGCTGGTCCAGAGCCACTGCTTCGCCTCGGACAGGGAGCTGCTCGGCCTGCTGGTGATGCACGCAGGCGCCTCTTGGTGTTCGATCCAGACGGGGTAATCGACGCGGCGGGGGCGAAGTTGAACACATTTTGGGCCTGCAGCTCGCAGGTACGCATTGGCTTCGACGCGCCTGGGAAGCTTACTTGAGCTTGGTGGAGGCGCGCTCGGACGATTTCGAGGTGCACCAGGGCTAGTACGTCGAAGACCTGCTGGCCAAGTCGGGGCTGCATGGCGGCAACGCCTGCAGCATTGTCGTCTTCGAGCCCATACCTAGTCGCAGCAATCGGGATGACGAGCGCGACATGGCTGAGGTCAAGCTGGCCCAGAAGGTGGGGGCGGGCTGCTGCGGCTTTCGACCCGCAGCCAACCCGACATCGCTTTCGCAGCGTCGCACCTCAGCTCGCACGCGTGCCGCGCGCCAACCTGGGCACTAAAACTGGGCCGGCACATTATGCGTCACGTGCTTGTGACGCGCCGTTTCGGCCAGCCGACCGCGCCGGAGGGCCGCTCGAATTGAACACTGGACGTGCACGCGGGCGCCAGCTTCGAGGAGGACACCTCGCAATCTGGGCTTGTGTTCGTCGGGGGCGTCCTGGTGAACCGGCGCAGCCAGAAGCAGCCGCAGGTCGCCCGCAGCATGGCCACAGCGCTCAGCGTGGGCCTCTTAATGTTCGAGGGGGCCGAGACAGCGGCGCGCCCACTGGGCGAGCGGCTGTCAATGCCGAGCGTGGCCGAAGCAGCCGGCGCACCCTGGCTGACCAGGCGGCGGCACTGAGGTCCAGACTGGAGGTGGGCGCGCTGGATTCCATGAAGGCGGCCAGCGAGGACCAACGCGCCAACGGCCTCACAGAGGTCTTCGCGGCGCCTGAAATAGCCCGCATCAAGTCCCACTGAGGTGGTGAACTAATCGTCTTCGCAACTGCCGTCTTTCATGGCATCGCAATCCTCCTCTTTCCGGCTGCCTGCCGGGTACACGTCACCACAACGGCGATTGAAAGGCGCGACCGTCTACAGCATGTGCTGGACGTTGCGAATCCCTGTGCATGCTGCGTGTGCATGGCGGGGCTTACTTTGGATTGGCGATGCGTTGTAGCTTTGTTGGGCACTCCCCGGAGGTAAAACGTTCTTCCGATCTGTCTCCTTTCAAGGTCAGACTTTGACTATGCACATGTCGACTGACGTGGATAAGCGAACGAGCAGTCTCAGGACCCCAATGGCACTCTAGGCGCGATCGCGTCTATCCTAACCGCTCGACTCGCATCGAAGATAGAACGGGCATCCATCTTTCCGATCGGTGCCAGGCCCAAGAGGAGTCTAAACACATAACGTGGTGATGCTGGCCGGAATCCGAGACATGTTGCCTTTGTTTCTGCGTTGGCACCGTCTCTGCATGTTCTCCGTCGCTGCGCGATTGCGTTTTCAGTCGTTGCCGATGCCCCCGTGCACCAGCGAGCTTGACTCACAGGGCTTCCGTCCTTCCCGACGTGGACGCGGCGGGCCGAATGTAAACTCGAGACATGACTAATCGCCCGCGCTTCCGCCACAAGCTTCGGCCACGTTGGCAGGACAGCGCTTGGGCGTTCGAGGCCATCCGACGTCGTTCTGCACAAGCCCATGCGCCCAGTCGGGGGGATGCCAGCCCATCCGAGGGACTCTGGCGTTGCGCCAGAATTCGTGACATGATCGCTGCATCGTTCACCATTCTGGGTTCGTGCGGTGGCGTGCTGTGTGCCGCGCGAGGCACAGCGTAGCTTGTTCCATCCGCATGAAGGCCCGACAATGAAAAAAAGTGCTAACTTCCCAGATCATGTGAAAGGGGGCTCCTTCACGCCAGCACAGGCCGACGAGCGACAAGGTAGGAGGGGAGGGGAGGAGAACAACAGAGACGGAGAGAGGGAGGAGCGACGCTCGGGCAGGGCGGGCAGGGCAGGCAGAAGCAGAGGCTCGCCACGGCCACGCTCCTCGGCTACTCGGCGAGGCGCTGCGTGCTCGATGGAGAAGAGCTGGGGACCAGCGACTGGTCGAAGAAATCTCCAAGACGACGGCACGCGCCATCAAAGCGACGTGAGATCCCGACGCCGCGAGACCGATAGTGCACGAATACGGTGGCGGTGACACGCACGAAAGGGGAAGCGGGAAATGGAAGAGGGAATGGAAAAGCTCCGACGCGCAACGGCACGCTGCAGCCGCGGATTAAGGCGGGTTGCACATACCAGGGGGATGCCCCATGCTATACACATGTTTGTAGGCGTCAGCGCATGAGAAACAAACAGAGAGACAACGTGCGAAGGGCAACCCTGGGTGGCGTGTTGTCTCACGTGCCACGGCCCCGAAGTCGCGGAGTGGACGCATTCTTCGGGCCCCCGCACAAGGAGGGGATGATAGCCAATGCTACATGAGCACGCGTGCATGTACATGATAGACAGGCGCGCCAACGACGACGACTGACGTCGACGACGGAGAGGGGCGGCCAAAGGCCTAAGGGAGGGAACGAGCGAACACCGACCGACAAGGGAGAGGACGGAAGCCCGCAGGCCCGAGGGCAATTCGGCGTGCAAATCTGGACGGCACAGCAGTGGTGACGAAGAGCCGCAGCGTGAGGCAGACGTGTAAGGATACACCGGCGCCGATGGGCTCGCCGCATTCTCTGGGCGCGGGAAGGGCGGCGACGCTCCTCCCGCTCCGGACGCGGCGTCGTCCAGAAACATTGGCTCAAGGTGCGAGTCACGAGGAAAATGATCCACATGCGTTCGGAGCCAGGACGTCCACGCCCTTTCCTGGCGTGTCCTCCATACTCTCTTCCTATCCTAACATCCCCCTTGATCAAGGTACCTCCCATCAATTCCCCTGCAACCCGTTAGTAGCGGTGCAGATATCACAATGCCGACCTCCCCGGAGCAGCCGCAGCCTGGTGCCCTTCCACCCCCCTCCTGCTCCTCCTGCTCCTGCTACTCCTCCTCCTCCTCCTGTTCTTCCTCCTCCTCCTCCTTCTCCTACTTGTTCCGCAGGCGGCCTGCGTCACCCTGCGGCCGTGCAGGCGCTCGGCGGGCAGAGCGCTCTGGCCCTCGTTGTTGAGGCCGAAGAGGAGCGCCTCGCCGTCTTCCAGCACCAGCGCCGTGTGCCCCCCGCCGCAGGCGGCCTGTGCCACCCTGCGGCCGCGCAGGCGCTCGGCGGGCAGAGCGCACTGGCCGTGGATGTTCCTCCCGAAGAGGAGCGCCTCGCCGTCTTCCAGCACCAGCGCCGTGTGCCAGAAGCCGCAGGCGGCCTGCGTCACCCTGCGGCCGCGCAAGCGCTTGGCGGGCACAGCGCACTGGCCCTGGTCGTTCTCCCCGAAGAGGAGCGCCTCGCCATCGTTCATCACCAGCGCCGTGTGCCACTTGCCGCAGGCGGCCTGCGTCACCCTGCGGCCGCGCAGGCGCCACCAGGCGGGCAGAGCGCACTGGCCACTGTTGTTGCTCCCGAAGAGGAGCGCCTCGCCGTCTTCCAGCACCAGCGCCGTGTGCACCCCGCCGCAGGCGGCCTGCGTCACCCTGCGGCCGCGCAGGCGCTCGGCGGGCAGAGCGCACTGGCCATCGTCGTTCTGCCCGAAGAGGAGCGCCTCGCCGTCTTCCAGCACCAGCGCCGTGTGCCTCCCGCCGCAGGCGGCCTGCGTCACCTTGCGGCCGCGCAGGCGCTCGGCGGGCAGAGCGCACTGGCCCTCGTCGTTCTCCCCGAAGAGGAGCGCCTCGCCGTCTTCCAGCACCAGCGCCGTGTGCATCCCGCCACAGGCGGCCTGCGTCACCCTGCGGCCGCGCAGGCGCTCGGCGGGCAGAGCGCAATTGATGTTCCTCCCGAAAAGGAGCGCCTCGCCATCTTCCAGCACCAGCACCGTGTGCCAGAAGCCACAGGCGGCCGCCATGGCCCTGCAGCGGCGGCTGGCCGAGCAGGCGGCGCGGGGCTGGGGTCCTCGCGCCGCAGTGGCCGGACGGGGGGAGAGGCGGCGCGCGAGGAGGGGGAGGGGGGAGGGAAGGGGATGAGAACGAGGAGGGGGGAGGGCGGAGGGGAAAGGGAGGGGAACAGGGGGAGGGGAGGGGAGGACAAGCTAGGTGCGCTCGCGTCATATCTGACGTCCTACCCCTCCCTCCCCCGGGAGGACTCCCAAGAAGGCCCCGAACGGGCCAGATTCATTGATTTCGGAAACGTTTTGTCCCCGCCCTCTCCCTCCCACTTCCGTCGAGGGCCGAGGCCTCCAGAATTGGTTGCTCCTACTCGCTTCCTCTCGCTGCTCCCCCACTCATCCTCCTCTCCTCCTCCTCTCCTCTCATCTTCCTCCTCCTCCTCCGCCTTCCTCTCGCTGTTCCCCCACTCTTCCTCCTCCTCCTCCTCCTCCTCCTCCTGCTCCTCCTCCTCCTATCCCACGTTCACATATGTGTTTCCTCACACGTTCTCGGGGGTGGCGCGTGTCGCCCGTTGTTTTTTGTGCGGCGGCATGGCCTTGTGGTGGCTCCCAGGACCCATGCTTTACTGCGAAGGTCTTACGGCCGGCGCCGCCGACCCTAGCCCGCTCTGTTCTCAACCCCCTTCTTCCCCTTCGGGGAGGGGTTTACCCCTCCCCCTACCCCCTCCCCCTGGGCCTGGAGAGGTCCTTTCGCGGGTCGTCAGGGGGGTCATTTTCGACTCCTGGGAGGGCTAAAAAACGACACCCCTCACGAGGATTCTGGCCCCGACGGGGGGAGGCAGAAAAAATGCTCTCCTCTTCTTTGAAGCCACAATCATTGATTTTACTACGGTTTTGGCCCCATGTTGGCCTTCTGAGGGGCAGCGCTCATTAAAGCTCCCCTCTTCTTTCAAGGCAAAATCATTGATTTAACGAAGGTGTTGGCCCCATTTTGCCCTTCTCAGGGGGCAGCGCTAATTAAAGCTCCCCTCTTCTTTGATCGATTTCCTCCAAGATGGCCCCCAGAAGCGCCCACGAGGCACCAAGAGGCCCCAAGATAGCCCCAAGAGGCCCCCAGGAGGCCCCCAAGAGGCCTCCAAGAGGCCCCCAAGATGCCCCCAAGAGCCCCCCAAGAGGCCCCAAGAGGCTCCCCCGAGGCACCCAAGACGCTCCTGGAAGCCCCTGGGGCCGCCAAGAGGCCCCCAAGACGCCCCAAACGGCCTCCAAGAGGCTCCCCAGAGGCCCGAAGAGGCTCCCCCAAGGCACCCAAGACGCTCCTAGAAGCCCCTGGGGCCGCCAAGAGGCCCCCAAGACGCCCCAAAAGGGGACGAGGTGCCCGAACGCCTCACGCCACGAGGAGCCCGAACGACTCACACCAGGACGAGGGGCCCGAACGACTCACACCACGAAGAGCCCGAACGACTCACACCAGAAGGAGGGGCCCGAACGACTCACACCAGGACGAGGCGCCCGAACGACTCACACCACGAGGAGCCCGAACGACTCACACCACGACGAGGGCCCCGAACGACTCACACCACGAGGAGCCCGAACGAGTCACACCAGGAGGAGGGGCCCGAACGACTCACGAGGAGCCCGAACGACTCACACCTGGAGGAGGGGCCCGAACGACTCACACCAGGACGAGGGGCCCGAACGACTCCCACCACAAGGATGTACAAGGAGGCGGGAGGAAGGAGGAACAGGGGAGATATGCGGGGCCAAGCGGAAACACACCTGAAAAACACGACTGTCTGCATGCTTCGCAAGAGTTGCTGTTCTGAGCTGGGCTGGTGGGGATACGCGAAGCGTGAAGAATATCGTTGAGCCGTCTCACCCCCGAAAGCGTGCGAGAAAACCATTCGTGAATTTGGCATTCTGGAAGCCAACACAACGCCCTCCATTCTCACAAAAACAACGGGTGACACGTGTCAACCCCGAAACCACGTGAGGAAAACAATTGTACGTTTTGGGTTCTGGGAGCAGCCAGAAAGGCCATCCAACCTTTCAAAAACAACGGGTGGCACGTGTCTCCCTCGAAACCGTGTTGGAACATGTAAGATCCTGTGAGCCAGCAAAGCGAGCAGCCCCACAAAAACAACGGACGGCACGCGCCACCCCCAAAACCGTATGAGAAAAACCAATGATAAAGTTTGAATTGTGGGGCCAACATAAGGCCATCCAACCGCACAAAAACAACGGGTGACACGTGTCACCACCGAAACCGTGTGCGAACAAATAATTGTAGCTTCTGGGGTTGTGGGAGCCAACGTACGGCCGTCTAGCCTCGAACAAACGCAACGTCTGACACGTGACACCCCCGAACCCGCGTAAGAAAACACAATTGTACATGTGGATCCTGCGAGCCAACATGAGGCTACCCAACCTCACAAAAAACAAAGAGTGACGCGTGTCACCCCCGAGACCGCGTGGGCAAAACCACTTCTAAATCTAGGATCCTGGTATCCAACATGGGGCCATTCAACTTCACAATAAAAAGCGGGTGGCACGTGTCACCCCCGAGACCGCGTGGGAAAAACCGTTTCTAAATTTAGGATCCTGGGAACCAACATGGGGCCATTCAACTTCACCCCCGAAACCGTGCGGGAAAACCATTCGTAAATTTAGGATTCCACGGGCTCGCATGAGGCCATGCAGCCGCGCAACAAACAACGAGCGTCACGCGCCACCCCCGAAACCACGTGAGAAAAAAACACATTGAACCTCGGGCTTCTGGAAGCCACGATAAGGCCATTTATGGAGGGATGAAAAACACGGCCCTACCCTGGGTTATAAGTCGTGGTCTGTAAACCTCCTGGGAACTCCCAAAGCCTAGAGCCTCCAGGACGCGGCACATCACGCAGGGTGTACCCTGTCAGCCCACAGGAGTGTCAGCGCACAGCGCCGCGTAAACCATGGTAGGGGCGTTTTTTCTGCCCTTGAATTTAGCTTCGCAAATCAACAACGGATAACACGTGTAACCTCTCAAACCGCGTGCGAGAAACCATGTGCAAATCTGGGAGCCTGGGAGCCCACATGAGGCCACTCAACCTCACAATAATTACGGGCAACACGAGCCACACCCGAGATCAAGAACACAACTTGTAAACTTGGGGGTTGTGGGATCCAACATACTGCAATTCAACTTCACACAAAAAACGGGTGACACGTGTCACCCCCGAAACCGTGTGAGAAAAACGAAGTGTAAATTTAGGATCCTGAAATCCAACATAAAGCCAGTCAGCCTCACACCGCGCGCGAAAACTGGGCGCCACCGCGCGCGCACAGTCGCGTGCGTACGTACGTACAGTGTCCCAATACGACGAAAACTATCTACTCGTCGACCGAAGTAGCCTGCACATCTGCACATACAGTTCATGCGCATATGCCGATGCATGCGCGTGCGTGCGCGTGTATACGCATACACACACATATATAGATACGAACATACATGTGTGCATTTGTAGATCGCATCGTTCGGTCCCCGTGGAACATGTTCCAGGGGGGACAGTTACAACACATAGTTGTTTGGCGGCGAAGTAATGGCAGTCGGGATCAAGGGGGGGTTGGGGAGGAGGGGGGGGTCATAATTGTTTAATCAGGTGTCTGGCCATCGCTCGGACGTCCATTTCCTGTGCGTTTTTCGGTTTCGTGCGTGGTTTTTTCGCCAAATGATCAAGGATGCTCCTCGATGGTCCTCGCCTAAGGAAAAATGCACACGTCCGAGCGATGCCAAGGTGCTGGACACGACGTGCGCGGATGGGCGACGCACCCGGCCAAAACGAAGCGAGGGTCGAGCGCTGCAGGGCGCCGCGCGGCCAAGACGGCAGGGGGAAACGATTGATGAACATTCCTCCTCCTCCTCCTCCTCCTCCTCCTCCTCCTCCTCCTCCTCCTCCTCCTCCTCCCCTCCTCCTCCTCCTCCTCCTCCTCCTCCTCCTCCTCCTTCTCCTCCTCCCCCTCCCCCTCCCCCCCAAACTCGCAGCTCAAGCCGAAGTGGTGCAAACATGTTTCTTTCAAGAGCTTCTGGGAAGAGGAGCCAAAAGGCCGAGGCGCAGTGGATATGGATAACAAGCCCAACCCCGAGGGGGCCAGAATTTGTTGTCCATCTCCACTGCTCCTCGGGTGTCTGGGGAAAGGAGCCCGAAACTCCAAGATGCAGAGACTACGGTAGAGGGAACCAATTACTGAACACTCCCCCCCCCCAAAAACTCGAAGTTGGCATGCGCGGGGAGACTGCGGTCGAGGTGCAACTAATATCAGACCCACCGCCAACTTTGAATACTGGGGGGAGGGGGAGGTGTTGACAGAGGAACGTGACATGAGCGTTCGCTGTTTTTTTTTTCCCCCGAGGCCTGTATGTATCCAGCTCTCGCCCAGGTTGGCCACATCAGGTGAATCCAGCTTCCTGGCAGCCAAGGGTTAAATCGGGCGTGTCCCCCTACGGGGGGATTTTCGACGAAACATAAAAAATACCCCAACGATGATCAAAAAATAATCAAAAAATAGTCAGGGGACTATTTTTTGAATATGTTTGACCTTCTGGTGCATTTTTGCGGTATTTTTTATTTGTCGTCGAAAATCCCCCTGTAGGGGGACACGCCCGACGTAAGCCAAGGGTCGCGGTTGGCGAGCTGGCAACAGCTGGCGCGGACCCAGGGAAGGGCCGAGAAGACGGCGAAGAACCTCAGGACCCCGCTTTCCCGAGGACCCCGCTCGCTTCCTGGCGACCTCTTCGCCCTCTCTTCTGAAGGGGCCCCAGGACACACAAATAAATACACACAAATAACAACATTCCCCATACTTTCCCATATTTTCTAGATTTGTGTCTTCCCCCCCCCCACTTCCCATATTTTCGCATATTGTTCTGGGGATCGACGATTCATTGTGTCTGTGTGTTTTTTCCCCTCCTGATCTTCGCCCGCGTCGTTTGGAGCCCGGGGCACGAAGAGATGCAGGCTGGCGCTCACGGGGCCGCGTCT